TTCTACCGATGTAATGAATACCTCCCCAGACCATCAAGCTACCACAGGAGAACCTGTCCTTCTGCAATACACAGCTTTGATGAAATACCTCGCCTCTTTGATGCCACACACTTACCTGGGCATCTGCAAACTTTTGAGAAAAGAAAACATGTAGAGCGTTTAATTCTTTCGAATGTTCAATTTTCGTGCCAGCATCCACCATCCCAAGAACACGGCCAGGAACAGGTTAAGTTCCTAGACAGTACCGTTGTCAGAAACCTTTAAAGTTAAGCACTAAAACTGGTTCGTTGTCATGAACATACAGGTGAGGTTATGATAAAATCCGTCCGGTGTCATGCAAAATATACAAGAATTTATACATGATGCCTAAATTAAAACGTTTTTGACAAATTCCAAGAATAAATTTGTATTTTGGGAAACAGATATAACATTCAGTATTCCATACAAAGATTTATGTATTTGATATCCACAATACATTTTGAGGAGTTTTGGTTGGCGATCACATGCCCATGTGTGAAGCCATGATTATGAACTGGAAAATTATATATTTCTTATAATTAATTCATCGAAATTGTATCTTTATTTTAAAATATGAAGAGAAACTTCATTTTAGGCAACTGACAGCCTTTTGTAGCTAACAAGTTTTAAGAAATCGCAGTTTATAAGCAAAAAGTCCGTTGTCAGTACATGTTAAGTTTATCTGGTCCGGTTTCATTTTTCTTAACATGTAAGTAAATCAATAAAATGCAACAGAAATGATCAAATATATGCTTAATATAAAAGAATACAAAGCATATTACAAATACATGTATATTTGAATCTCGGGGTCGTCTTAAAGCAGCTCACACCAACGTGCTAACTATTCTGCGATGTTTTTATTTTCAATTCATTTTCTCTTAGGAACCTGCATCCTAGCTAGTATGCAAACATATACAATTCCTTGTATATCATCAGTATAACAAAATTAAAATGTTATGCTTAGGTCAAATTTAAGCCGATGGTCGGGCGACCAAATTATTTTCATATCGTCGGCTGAAAAAAAAAACATGATCTGCCGACACTAGTATCTGGCGACGCAGAGTAGTCATTTTAATTTCTAGGAACACCGATACTTTTAAAAGTAAAAATACTTATATGTTGGCCAACCGTCATCATCGTTCGCTAGGCCGCAGTTTGATTTTCATCTTCGGTCGACAGTTGTACGAAAACCCAATTCCTAAATGTCGACCGACTGACGACCGACTTTAAAAACTATATACCGATGGTCGGCCGATGATCGAAGGTTGGTGGACGGACTATTCAATGAGTGCTTCAATTGAATCGGCCACAGGCGAAAAAAATAATAACTTGACCCGACTGACATGCATAAAATTGGTCGGCCGACGAAAAAAAAGAGATAAAAATCGGGCAAGACAACGGCCGATAATATGCAACTGATGTGGAAGCATCCTCAGGTAATGTAGATTCAAGTTTGTTCAAATCATTACCTCCGGGGGTAGGATGGAGCCACAGTGGGCTATCGAAATTTTACATAGGATAACATAGGAAAAATCTTTTAAAATCTTCTCAAGAACAGCAAACCCATGATTGGTCATGTTTATATGGAAGCATCCTCAGGAAGTGTAGATTCAAGTTTATTCAAATCAAAGTTTAACATAGGAATACATAGGGGAAATCATTAAAAAATCTTATTCTCAAGAACAACAAAGACTTGATTGGTCATAATAAAATAAAAGCATCCTCAGGTAATGTAGATTCAAATTTGTTCAAATCATGACCCAACAGAGGGGAAAAACAGGGGATCATAGTTAAACAAAGGATTATAAAGGATATATCAATAAAAAAATTCTTCTTTAGAAAACAAAGCCATTATCAGTCATATTAGTTCAAAAGCATCTTTAGGTGGTGTAGATTCAAGTTTGTCTAAATCATACCCCCCCCCCCTCCACTTTAATATTTAAACTTTTGAATACCTTAGTGATTTCTGCTATTTCCGAACCAAAGTGCTCAGATGAGCGATGTGGCCCATAGGCCTCTTGTTTTTGGTGGACTTGTGAATGTAATTGGTTTGTAAATCACATTGACGTATGCTATTTCATGCAGCGTGATTCATGTGATTGTGACGGTACATTTTGTCGTCATATTCATATTGTCGCCGGCGACAATGTATACAAACACTCACTGAGCATATTGCCGTCCATCAGTACATGTCGACTGACAATGCCTGGCAATGTTTCCATATAGATATGACTAATCATTGCTTTGCTGTTGTTGAGAAGAAAATGTTTAAAGAATTTTCCTATATATTCCTGTGTAAAACTTTGATCGCCCTTTGTGGCCTCAACCTAGGCCTGCAGGTCATGATTAAAAGAAACTTGAATCCACACTACCTGAGGATGCTTCCATATAAACATCGCTAATCGCTGGCCTACTGCTGTTCGCAATATCTGATCCAAAAATTTCAGAACGAGGAAAGGGGGGTGCGGTTCAGATTTTTTTTTTTTTTTGACAAACAAAAAAATAAAATCGTTTGTGTGTGAAGAAGTGTTACTGTATAAGTTAAGTACATGTATATTATTTTATCATGAAATTTTACCTGTGGACAAAATTGAGAGTATATACAGGTTACAAAAACAGAATTTATTTGAACCAAATTGATTTTGTTTTTGTTTGTTTGTTTGTTGTTTTAATATCCATCTAGAAAATTTTTCACTCATAAGGAGACATCACCACTTGCCGGTGGAGGGCCAAAAATTTAGACCTATTCTCGGAACTCAGGGCCATTGAAAAGTGTGAGATCTTTTTCGTGCCAGAATCTAAAAAAAATTAAAAGTATACTTCATGTATGTACTTTCACATAAGTATCATCTCTTCTGATCCAGAAGTTCTTGAGAAGAAAATTTTGAAAGAATTATTCTTAAATATTCTTTTAAAACTTTGCTCACCTATTGTAGCCCCACCTTTTCACAAACATGATCTGAATAAAAATGAATCTACACTTAATAATAAAGCTTTCACATAAGTTTCAACTTTTCTGACACAATGGTTCTCGAGAAGATTATTTAAAGATGTCACTAAATTTTCACTAATTCTTAACTATACATGTACTTTCTTGAAAGAGGGCGTGACCATTAATTTGAACAAACTTGACTCCCTTTATCCATGTTTGCTTTCTGTTAAGTTTGGTTGAAAATGAAATTGGTCAGTAGTTCCTAAGAAGAAGCTGAAAATGTGAAAAGTTTACAGACAGACAGACGGACGACACAAGATATGTGATCAGAAAAGCTCACTGGAGCTATCAGCTCAGGTGAGCTAAAAATGTGTCAACCCCTACACCAATATATCGGCACTTGTATGAGAATTTAGCAAAAAGATGAATTCCAGATAACAATTCTACTGAACAAATAACTTTCAATCTCATATCCATGTATATATAACGAGAATAAATAATAGACTGATTTTTCAGATATCTCAAGAATTATGGTATTTTGACATATCAAAGTCACGTAAACTAATGCTGGACACAATTTTCTGAGCAACACCATTTCTCCCTACAGTATTGCGAGTAATGCTAAATAAATACAGCTTGTTTACTTATCTATCAGCCAAACACTTTGTCCTTTTCTCTCTCTCTCTCTCTCTCTCTCTCTCTCTCTCTCTGTATGTCTCTCTCTTCACGACTTTGGTAAATATTCAACACACATCGGCGATAAAATGTGCCAATGGTCACAGTACATATTGTCGCCGACGACAAAACGTGCCGATACTTGACTGTACATTTTGTCTTCCATTACGCAGGAGGAAGAAAAAGGTTCGTCTCGGTACAATTGTCGCCGGCGACAATATGTATCGATGGACGACGATATGTGCAGTCAGGGTAGGTCCATTTTGTCGCCGACGACAATATGTACAAAACGACAATATGTACCGTCACACCTCTCTTTTTGATGGCATGCTTAACGTAAGATTGTCCTTCGTAGTGTATACAATACAGTAGCGACAACGGACCGATGACAACGGACTGAATTTTCGTATCTTGTCATGACAACAGACAAAAATTTTAATAAATCAAAATTTTCAGTTTTAATTTGTTCTCAATTTTTCTGTAAAGGCTTACAACATGTCTTGATACTGTCTGCACCAATTGGTGTGTATATTATATTCTATTTACAAAAAATATAACATCTCGGAAGGAAAATGAATAAAATCCACATTTGTTTTCAACAGGGTTTAATATCGCCAACGCAAACTCCTCTTTTATCACTTGTTTTTAACGACTGAAATTCATACAACACCAAATAGGGTATCAGCCCTGTTTCCCATTGCAATTTCAGACATTGTTATAGATAATTTAACTTGAAAAATGAAAAACTTCTCACAACCTGTCTTCTCAAGTCATGACACCGGACGGATTTTATCATAACCTCACCTGTATGTTCATGACAACGAACCAGTTTCAGTGCTTAACTTTAAAGGTTTCTGACAACGGTACTGTCTAGGAACTTAACGTGTTCCTGGCCGTGAAGAAGTCTCTGGACGTCATTTTAATGGAGGGAAGGACTCTCAGAGGACCCATTTAAATTGTGCAAAATCTGTCCTTTGTGTATCCTTTTAAACAATGTGATTCAACTGCCATGTTTTTCTAAAGACTTCCCTTTAAAAAAGTACGTTTATCTGACAAAATCATTCTCTGCAAGGGCTTCTCACTAGAGGTGCTAAATCGTACAATGAAAAAGTGGGAGTGAGGTTAACTGTGTTCGATATTCACAAAAATGCGTTGGACATCGAGTAACTCGTAATATTTAAGCCAAGGGAACATGAATTTCACAATTTTACTCGACATTGCTCACTGACGTCAGCATTTTCCAAAACACACCCATATGATTTCAAAAAAAAAAATAGCAACTAGTCACGTGGATGATATAAAGAGGACAATTGTAAAATACTTTTTTAAAAAATACGATCTGTACAATTCCTCAACATATAAGGTAACCAAAATATGTTTTATTATGATCTTTATTAAAGAAAATGACAGATTTTACAGACATCGTCTTAAAATCTCTCAATCAAAGAAGTCCTCTATATCGATATCTGGATCTAACAAATGATCCTTAAAGGGAGTTAAGTCAGTCTTATTCAGAATGAGATTTTCAAATGTTTCCTCCAGGTCAGTCTCACCGATTAGAATAGCCCCCTCCATTCGTCCATTTCTTAATACAACTTTCACGTATTCAGAGCCTAATAATTAAATAATAACAACATTTTTACAAAAACAGTATTACATAAAGGAATATTTAATTGAAAACATTTTCGTTCATTATCACAACACGTGGCCTGCCTATCATGTAGCAGTTCTCAAACATCATTATCTTTATCTCAATCTTTTAGTTGACATTATGAGAGTCAGAGAACGGAAATAACTTTACCTTTTGTAACCCTAAGTAAAATTTCATAGTCTCTCCCAAGTCCTTGAGCATTGAATTTCCCCAAGAGGATGACCTAAAAATAAATGGACAATAACTCACAAGAGAGCTACCGGTCAATAATATAAAGTCTGATTTTGTTTACTTTTCATTGTATATAAGGGCAATGTCTATAGACTAAATGCTATTCTTGATTCTAGTATGTGTTTATTTTACAACACATTTACATGGATATAATAAAACTTGCCATTAATGTATGCAAATTACATGTATATAAATGATATCCAAGGAAGAGCAGATACTGATATGTAGCCCCTCTGTTTCAAACCTTGGGATCTGGGGTTAGAACATTGACACAGTACAAAAGTACATGTATGTTATTCTAAATATATTAAGTTCAAATAATATAAAAAAGTACGCAATATACTTTCCAGAGCAATACCCTAGACAAGCACTAGTAGTGCAGACGGAGTAAAAGCAACATGATTAAATTCTAAGGAATCTATGCAATAGAAATCCACCGCAGTTTATTTCAGGCCAGAATACCTGTATCGAATAACACAGTGACTAATTCTTGTCCTTGAAAAAAGTGCGCTATACTGAGATATAGTTCCCCTTGACTATGTTTTAGCTTCAATGAAATTTACGATTTGCTCTCTGTATAGTGTCTTTTATATCAAGATTGAACAAGCATAAAAGATAGATAATTGCAGGGAAATACACCAAAACCTATAAATAAAAAAATTAAAATAGTCTTTGAAAAGGCAGGAACTTAAAACTATAAAAATGTGCCACCAGGTGGATTAGATTCACGACTCCACGACTCTCAAAAATTCCCTCGGTGTTAATACTAAGCGGATATACCAATTTAGCTATCCTGACTATGAATCATGTAGTTATCAAAAATGTGAACCAGATTGTCAAAAACAGGTTTCCTTGTTTTTTTGTAGGTTTTTTGTGATTTTCGACCCTAGGGCATGGGTGCCCCTAAAACAAGCCTATCTTTAAATATTCCTTACACCATAACCTATCAAAATATCGTAATTTTATCTAGGGGCAGGCCTGCCCTAAAGAACTTCAAGACCAAAATTCACGCAAAAATCGGTGCTTTAACGGACAAAATGCTCTTTTGGCCAACTTTGGGGGTTAATTTTAAAGTTGCAACTAAAAAATTTTAGGTTGAAAATGCAAATTTGAAAAAAATTAAAACAAATATACGGTAGAAAACATCTAATGAACTTTGATTTTTATATGTTACTTTTTCCTGGAAATTGTTTATTCCTATAGGTCAAATCTTTTGAAAACCCAAATACATCCTTTGGGACAGAAAAAGGGGCCGGTCCCCTAAACCTCTAAATCCAGCAGTACAAAGAACAATTTGCAAAAAAAAGTGGATGTGGATTCAGAAGAGTGGATGTGGATTCAGTTATAATGTGGTGATGTCCTTTAGTTTTCAACCGTGTTCCTTAAATTATTGCAACTGACCAAATTTATGAAAAATTGTACTGAAAAAAAAATGCTTTTCAAAAATTGAAATATTATTGAGGTCAAGTTTGAAAGATTCTACAAGCAGATAAAAAAAAAAGTAATCCAAAGATACGAAATAACAAAAATATTTTTTTAAATACGATTGTCTTAAACCTTATAAGGAGACTATGTCAAGAAAAGAGCTTCATCAGTACATTGATTTTGTTTCTATAAGTGGAAAAAAGTTTTACTAAGACTGTAATACACCAATTATCAAAACTATATTTTTGAGAAATATGAAAATGACTAAGTGTTCCAGAAAAACTCACTTTATAGCCAAAGAATTTCGTAACATGAGCAAAAACTTCGAAACAGAAATCCAGAGATATTGATTGGCCCTTTATATCTGCCACCATGCACTGAGCCGAGTAGGCACCCATCTGTCTGGCTTGGGACCAAAGTCGCATCTGCAAACCATACAAAAATACATACTGGTACCAGATATGAACTTACGTAAATACGGAGATTATGTAATTATGGAGGTTATCTTCAGCAACTAAAACAAAACTTTTAAAAAAAGATAAAAAAAAATTCAAGATTAATCCCACGTGAGACGGAAGTATTTTAAACATCAAAGTCTGAATGTTAATCTATATCATGTTGTTCATTATATCAATACCTCCCCAATGCTATTAACTTACGAAACATCTGAAAAATATTACTTTTTGGGCAGAATGACGTTCTTTTCATAGGGAGGTATTAACGCCACTAAGACCTGAGCCATTTTTGCGTCAGACTGCTTACGTAACAGGTATTTGAATGTCTTAGTATTTTGTGATAATAAACATCTACATGTACTTAACCAACAAAAAATTTATATTACAAGAACTATTTTTCGTCAGTGGCAGATTTAGTAAGGGTATGATTTCCCATTTAACTACCAGTAGGATCGACTGTAATTTAGAAGATCGAACTTTTCACTTACAAATTATGTGTTAAATATTAATTTCATACACTCTGAAGGCAAATTTAAAATCTGCGCAGATTTAAAAACAACGATTAGCATTATGTGTACAGGAAAAAGCGAAATCATAACCAGTGAATATGGACCTATATGTTTATGCATGTTATTATACAGATTGTTCCTCTATGTATCCCCTCTCTACCTTCTGTATTGTATCCCTGCCAACTGTATCCTCTCTCTCAGCCCTATGTATCCTCTCTCTGTGCCCTATGCATCCTCTCTCTGTGCCCTATGTATCCTCTCTCTCAGCCCTATGTATCCTCTCTCTCTCTGCCCTACATATCCTCTCTCTCAGCCCTATGTATCTCTCTCTCTCTCTGTCCTATGTATCCTCTCTCTCTGCCCTATGTATCCTCTCCCTCTGCTCTATGTATCCTCTCTCTCAGCCCCATGTATCCTCTCTCTCAGCCCTATGTATCCTCTCTCTCTCTACCCTATGTATCCTCTCTCTCTTAGCCCTATGTATCCTCTCTCTCAGCCCTATGTATCCTCTCCCTCTGCCCTATGTATCCTCTCCCTCAGCCCTATGTATCCTCTCTCTCAGCCCTATGTATCCTCTCCCTCTGCCCTATGTATCCTCTCTCTCAGCCCTATGTATCCTCTCTCTCAGCCCTATGTATCCTCTCCCTCTGCCCTATGTATCCTCTCTCACTGAGCAGAGAGAGAGGATACATAGGGCAGAGAGAGAGAGAGAGATAGAATTGTATTCTATTTCTGCCCTATATATGGCCCTCTGTATCCATCCTCTCTATGCCCTATGTATCCTCTCCCTCTGCCCTATGTATCCTCTCTCAGCCCTATGTTTCCCCCTCTCTCTCTCTGCTCTATTTTATCTCTCTCTCTGTCCTATGTATCTTATCTCTGCCCACTGTATCCTCTCTCTGTCCTATGTTTCCTCTCTCTCTGCTTTATTTTATCTCTCTCTCTCTCTCTCTCTCTCTCTGCCCTATGTATCCTATCTGTGCCCTATGTATCTTCTCCTTGTACAGTATACCCTCTCTCAGTCCTATGTACCCTTTCTCTCTGTCCTATGTATCTTATCTCTGCCCTATGATGATGAGTAACTCAGGTGAAATAAAAACATAATATTCTGGTGACCCTTAGGTTCCATTGGCTCATGAAGGAAAACTTTCATATAAGCAAACAAAAAAAAAGACCTCTGAGAAATCTGACTAGATATATATTCGGGACTTTGTTAGCCATCATTTCGCAAAAGAACTACAAACAGCAAGGAGGGTTTTCTATTTCACCCAGTGATCAAATTCTAGAGAAATACTCTGTACATTTACATTACAAAGTTTATAGTAAGTAGCTTTTGAATCATTCAGAATTTTCTTCAACTATGAGTGATCAAAAGGTCATGAGTTCAAGTCCTGGTCGCTACAGACCTATGTCAATATAAAATAGGTAACAACTTTTTCTTCACCAAGCTCTCGGCACTTTGAAGTGAAAATTGCCAGTTTTTCAGATAAGACCCTAAACTAAGGTCTCGTGTCACAGTAGGTGTTGGCACCATGAAGATCCCTCACTGCTCAATGACCTCAGTGCCATGTAAAAGTCTAAATTTGAAACCCTTCACCAGTATATGGCGACATCTCTATGAGTGAAAAATTCTTAGAAGGGATGTTAAACAACAAACAATCAATCATCAAAATGAAATTTATAGATTTCAATTGATCTGAATAACCTCATCTTAAAATTGCCTGTTTTGTATGTAACAATAATTCCTGTAAATTAGATTACCATCTTTAAGTTTCTAAGAAGGTATGATTGAATAGAATAAGACATAATGCAGATCATTTCAAGACACTAGCATAATTACTAGGACCTGTAAGAGAAGCCAGAATTTATATCATGTAATATTTACATTTACAAGTATTTTTCCTTAAGATTCTTTGCAAATTAAAAGATTGTTCATTTTCATATGAACTACCATGAGATGAGCATGAATATCTCCATTGTTACGTCATAATACCGTACTTGACATCAAAACTTTAGTGCAAACTGTTTTGCTTAAAAAATCACAGTTGAATGGCGTAACTTGTGGAAACTCATCAGAAAAATAATGTAAATATAAGAAATAATTTAATTTTTGAATTCATGAGGTACCTGAACTACAACACTTCATGACGGCATATTTATCGTAGTGCTAATGCGCTTCACGAAATATGCCAGCGTGAAGCTTTGTAGTTCATGTCCTCATGAATCTTCAAAAATTAAATTTATTTCTTATCGTCATTATTTCTTTCAACTACATGTATATCATTTAAACGAAATGTATAATAGGTTTAAATACTGTTATTCAATTCTGACTCATCAAAATTTATTAAGTTGCTCAATGAACTTCAGAGATGACATTTAAAAAAAATACAACAAACAAATAAGTTTTATATATATTTTTTCCACCTATAAGATGATGAGTCATAGTGATATTGAACATTTTGCTATCAAAGTAACTATTTTACTGGGAAAAAACTATTGGTAGATCAGACAAATGAAAATCTTGTGGGATTAAAAGCAAAACAATGGCAAAAAATATTGATGCTTTGTTATGACTATACTATCAGTCTTTATTTTTTTTTTTATTTTGTCCATGGAAGAAATACGTCACTTACATACATGTATATTTCCAGTGTAGTAAAAGCATAGATGCAAACAAAACAGTTAATTACATACAATTTGTTTTAATTTTTTTCTTAAATTTTATTTATATTACAAATATGTAATATAAATTATTTCTGCCATCCTAATTAAACACCTAGATCCAAACTTAACAGATGATGAGCCTTTGTAATGCTGAACTTCTGGCCATCAAAGTAGGCTGAAGTATATTTAACATAATTTTTTCTTTAAATTTGATTGTGGTATAAATACGAGGGGTTATCAAAAAGTTTGTGGACTAGCGCCATAAAATTAAAACCGCTTTAGGTACATCAATGAATTTTAAAACATTATGTTAGCATCATAATGTCTTCCTAAAGAATAAACCATAAATCATAAGTTTTATTTTTAAATGAATTTTTAATGTTCTTGTAAGCAATGGTATGTCTAGGTGGCGCAACCTCAAATATGAAGTTTTTTTTCTACCTGAGTGTAACTGAGAAAAACTCTTTTGATATGAGCATTTTTCATCAAAATCCCGTTATTTCAGACATGTGGTACTGACACAATTGTTCTGTAAAATTTGCAATTTTTACCCCATTCTGTACAGTCTATGAAATTTTATTGTAAATTTTATATGAAATGTCCAAAAAATAAAGGCTTGAAAATGATGTCAAAAAGGGGGAGGGGTTTCTTTTTCCAGCATTCTATTAAGTTTTGCACCTGGAAAAACTGGTATAGACCTAAAGAATGTTACAACGGGCTACAGAGAAATAAAATGCATCCAGAGTACTGTTTTTAAATGCCCCAAAAGATTCAGAGGGATGAAAGATGCACAGTTAATTCCATTTGTAGTCAGTCAGGGTGTCAAAAGTCAGTCACATCGAAAAGTGACGTTGATCATGTGTGGCAGAAATTGAACTCCAACAAGCTAAGTATTCTGGCATAATCAAGTGAGGATCTTTTCCTTTTGAATAGGTCCATTTACAATATTATATGCATTGAAAGCAGCTGTTCATGACATATAAAGTCATATAAACAAGACGGGCTTAAGTCCTTACTTAACTCCAGGTAATCTATGAGGTAGAGAGAGCGGACATTGAGAGACGATGAAGTTGTCGGACGTCATGAAACTAACCAGCGACAGCGCCGGGTGATCATATAATGTCTTTTTTATTTTAGAATAATGTGGAAAATTATCAACATATCAAGCTAAAATTTTCAACATTTCCTAAACTTTTGTTGTTCTTTGTTTCTTATAAATTTTGTAAGCACAGACTACATAGTATTAATTTTAACGCATCAGTCCACAAACTTTTTGATAACCCCTCGTACATAACATTTATTTGCGTTACCTGTAACCAGTGCTGTGCCGGTTCCCAGCTCACAGTACAAACATCTCCAGCTGCGTACACATCTTCCTCCGATGTCCTCATTTTGTCATCCACACATATACCACCATCCTCTGCCAGAGAAAACTGTTCTAACAATTTAAAAAATGTCACAGAAGCTTCAATAAACAACATACAGCAAAATTATCATTTAATTCCAGAAGATAAGATATTCACATATTTTGGGTTGACTTGTCAAATCTAAAGCTTCTTGATTTTGCTATTTTTACTTTCATCAATGGAATGTGAAGATAATGAAAAGTAATCATGCTTGAAAGTCCAAATAAACAATAAAAATTGGGAGCAGAGCAAACAACATCAGAGATGGGATCAGGTGCCATGGAGAAGTAAGCATCCCCTGTCGACCAGTACACCTGCTATGTGCACTTTGTCATCATTGGGTAAATGGAGAAATCCATAGACAATTCAGCATGAAAATAATGGCTTAACAATTTGTATGAAAGACATTGGTCAATATTTGACCTGATGAAAGATTGTATTTGTAAACAAGGTCATGTTATCAAATTAACATTTATTTCAAAGTGAAAAATGTTAAAAGGATGATATTGATAGATTTTGTTATTATAATTAAAGGTTTACTCCTGATGATTATATATTTCAGTCTTACATCAATATGCTGGTGTCCTATCCATCAGTCCATACACACTTTTATAGGATGCTATTTTTGTACCTTTTAACTTTAATATATACTTTTACCATTGAGATGAAGAAAGTTCAGTGGAAGAGATTTAAAGTTCTCAGTGTCACTTGGTCAGATGTCAAGTTTCTTGGTTTACTAACCCATTTCAAATTTACATGATGCAGCAATTTAGATACTATTTAACCTGCATAAAACTATTTAACTGGAATTGTTACACAAATATGATATACATTGGAATAACTTTGACTAAAGACAAGTTCAAGGCTCAAGATAGCCAGTAATTCATGCTTTTTGAAATAATTCTGTATATTATGTATACTTCACATTTGCTACTGTAGTGAAGAATGGATAGAGAAACACTCCATTAAATATATTCATGAAAGCATTTTATGTCACATAAATACTTGTCTCCAGACTTCTATATTTATAAGGTACATGTATAAGTAAATGTTTTGTTAGCAAGAAAATGAAAAGCACGTACATTCTGAGATCACCTGCTAAAAGTCACGAGGAAATTATTATTGATGTAAGCACATTAATGACTTTGTCAGGATTTTAGCTGGGTTTTTTTATCTTACCTGATTCCCAGGTAAGAATGGGGACGTATTAGGGATGACTCCAGTGGCACTGACTAAAAAATCACAGCCATACACTTTATCATTAGTCAGCTCTATGTAGATAGGCCAGCAATCTAAAATCACATTCAACAATTGTAATTAAATAATGAATTTAACAGCTACCCAAGTTATACTGTATAACGTGGGTTGGGGCAGTTTACGCTTTATAAACTGAGAAGTGGTTAATAAAAAAGCGTAAACTGTTGCAACCCAGGTTATACAAGTATCAATAATCATATATTGTGGGCACAAATTTTAAATGTAACAGCAACTGAATTGATACGTTTTCGTTGAAAGTCATTGTGATGTAGGCAACACAGGTTTTAAGATTTAAACAATTTTTTTTTATATCCAATCAAATGGCACACATTAAAACCAGAATTAAATTAGTAACAGACTATTGGCTAGAAACAAAGCATATGTCTACTTGGTAACAGGTACCCACCCTGATCTACGTTTCCCATGAGGTCTGTAGACCATTTCCCTGATTCTTGGAATTCCTCCTTTGTATATACCCTCCGTACTTCCACACATTTCTCTACTGTCACACAATGTGAAATCTGTCCAAAACCAATAAATAACCTTGTCAAATTAACTCAACCTTTTCTTAAAAATCATGTACCACTTACTCAAAAAGAAGAGAAATTGCTTTTGCAATTATACTGTTTTATTTCAAAGGTATTTGGGGAAAAGGGAGGAGGCATTAAAAAAACATATTTTTTGATGTCTCTGTATGTAATACAACTAGTCATTCTTCATTGGTATGATCACTGGTAAATGAAGATGAACTTCAGATACAATTTGGTTAAATCAATAGCTTTGTACCATCAGATAAAGTTGTGTGTGTGAGGGTGTGTCTGTGTGTGTGTTTTTGTCTTTTCCCCGTTCAATTTCTGCATTGCTTTTACTTGATTTAAACCCTTTCCACTGAGCATTTTTGTTCCTTAATTCTAGGTAACTCTAAATCAGACACTGTGCTACCCACCTCCTGAGTGCCAGTCATGGATAGGTCTGCTGACCAATCAGGACCCAGGGCTCCTCCCAGGGGACTATCTTTTGTACTCTGAGTCCTGACATCTGAAAATCATTACATCATATATATATCATCTAAGTCATGAAGTTGCCTTACTTTGTAGAAAAATTACAAAACACATAATTAGAGACAGATAAGTCAATAACTGACACATTATACAACTGAGATTAACCTCAATAAATTGTAAAAGATGATATAACTTGTAGTATCTTTGTACTGTAATATTACATGTATAACCGAGTTATGACTTTTTAAAACTACATGTATCTCATTTCATTTCTTCTGATTATTAAATTATCCAATTTCAAATATTTGGTTTCATAAACCTAAGAGTTATAGCGTGATGAAATATCTTGCTGGAAACAACATTTTTTTCCAAAAAATCCAAAAAGTTTTAAATCAACATAGGGAATAACTTGCCTTGAACAGTATACTTGAGTCGTTTGGATGGTTTTTCTCCTCTAGCCTCTTTCTTTTTGTTGATCTCTGCCATGAAGAATTCTCCTGCCCCAGGGTCTACAAATGTACTGCTTATGGACTTATCCTTAATGGCCCATATCACTTCACACCCCTCTATCTCATAACTGCAAAAAGAAAAATCCATAAAAAAAAATGTTCATTCATTGTCAGAGTAGGTACTTCTTGAACATTCATTTGTCATATTTCCTTCTTAAAGTTTTTATTTCACTAAGGTATGTCATATTGAAACTACACAGCTTTAACACCTTGCTCTGACCAGTTTTGAATATCAATAATTTAGGGCCAGTTATGATTCTCTGAGTCAGTTACAGAGATTCAATACACCACTTATTCTTACATCATTTTGGTGAAAATAGGGAAGGGGGGGGGGGGGGGGGTAGAAAGGGCTAATTCTTTATTGCTTTAAGCAGGAGTATACAATGAATAAGAACTTACTATAAAGATTAACCTTATATTTTACTTCCAATTTTATAAATCACTGACATCAAAGTTTTTTCTCTCAGGATAATTTTTACAAGTAACTTACACAAGTTCTGTAGCTATGCCTCCATTGCCCAGCACCATTATTCTTCTGGCTGTAGAAAGTCTCTTCTGAAATTCCTGTCAATGGAAAACACCGAGTATATGGATTATATCTTTTTCAATAAAATTATACATATATATAAACAATCAATGTTATGCATATCATCTTTGTGTTTATATTTGATGTATTTTTGCAAAAAAAAAACAAAACAAAAAAACAAAAAACAAAACAAAAAAAACATAGAAGCTTCAAGATATAAAAAAAAAAATTAAATGATGTCAATGATCTAATGTCAGTGTGAAAGAAAAGCTGCATTTGATTTAGCTACGATAAAGAGTTAAACTCCAATAAAGATATCTAGAAGATGTTTCTTCTTACAAAGCCTGTTTATAGTCATTTTGGAAGTATACCTAAACCCAGTGTTCTTTGTGCTTATACAAATACTGATGTTTCTTAACATTCATCTCTGTAAGCAGTTGGATTGTAAAATGTTTTTTTCCCCTGTGGTTTAGTGTTTATGCTTAATAATTATTATTAAAATGATTATACCTTTCACTTCAAGATGAGCAATAATTTGCCACAGCGAACATATTCTTATTTGTATATCATATTGATAGCACATCATAAGCTTGAATTGTCTTTGGTTCAATTTAGGAATTTACATAAAAAACATCCAAAAGTACAATTATTATAATGTTCACATACTAGAAGTATTTAACTCTGTATCACACTTCTCCTTTTTCCTCCTTAATCACAACTTTTCTATTTTCATCTCAATAATGATATACTAGTATACATGTACTTCACACTTTTAACTTTACATATATGTGAAATTTATCTTGATGCCTTTTTTCCAAAGCAATTTGAAATTGCCCAATAAACTGTCAACATCAGTAATGTAAAACAGAAAAATGTAAAGGATTTCAAGAACAGATGTAAAGTAAAGCATGTAAAACATAAAGTAAAGCATGCAAAGCATGTATAACAAGTAAAGAAAAACATGCAAAGCATGTTTAACATGTAAAGTAAAGCATTTAAACATGTAAAGCATGTATATCATGTAAAGTAAAGCATCCAAAGCATGCATATCATGTAATGTAAAGCATGCAAAGCATGTATATCAAGTAAAGCATGCAAAGCATGTGTAATATGTAAAATAAAACATGCATAATGTGTAAAGTAAAGTATGCAAAGCATGTATAACATATTAAGTAAAACACATAGAGAAATCATGCACAGTATGAAATAGACTGTAAAGTTAAACATAAAAAAACTTGTTAAGTGGGAAATAAAGCATGTAAGGAAAACACATAAATTAAAGTCTGTAAAGTAAAACATAGAGAGTAAAAAAGTAAAGTAAAACAAGTAAAGTAAAACACACCAAGTAAAGAAATTAAAGTAAAACAATTAAATATGCATGCAAAGTAAAACAAACATAAAGTAAAGTAAAGCACAAAAAGTAAAGAAAGTAAAGTAAAACAAATAAGGTGAAGCATGTAAAGTTAAATCCTGAGAGTAAAAAAGTAAAGTAAAACACAAAAGTAAAGTAAAACATAGAGTGTGAAGCATGCAGAGTAAAACACATAAAGTAAAAAAAAATAAAACACATAAAGTAAAACATAGAGAATAAAACACATAAAGTAAAGTAAAACATAGAGAATAAAACACATAAAGTAAAGAAAGTAAAGTAAAACACATAAAGTAAAGTAAAACATAGAGAGTAAAGTAAAACATTGAGAGTAAAGCATGCAAAGTAAAGCACATAAAGTAAAGATAGTAAAGTAAAACACACAAAGTAAAGTACAACAGAGAATTAATAAAGAAAGTTTAAAATAGAGAGTAAATAAAGTAAAGTAAAACACAAAGTAAAGCAAGCAATGTAAAATGCATAAAGAGAAGAAAGTAAAGTAAAACACATAAAGTAAAGCATACAAAGTAAAACATATAAAGTGAAGAAAGTAAAGTGAAACCATGTAAAGCCTATAAAACGTAATCAAATCAAAGCATGTAAAGTAGAGCACATAAAGTAAAACAGCTGTGATAGACAAATACACATCTTGCACTTCATCATTTCCCTGCCTGTCGGAAAAACAACAGACTGGCCTCTTATTATAATAAGTGTTTCCACAAGCTCTTATACTTTTGTAAAATGTTTCAATCTCTGATTAGACTATAGTTAATTAATGCTTTAATGCACATACCCTTTCTACCTTCTTTTGTAATTAATACAAGTAGATCAGATATACAAAGGATAGATTCAATAATATGAGAGTACATGTAATACCTATATCAATATAACCCAAGTACCTTTAGCTACCTTAAAGACTAATTTAGAATTATAGTACATCCTCGTTTATCACCTTTAGGCATCTTAGGTATAGAAGAATTTCAAAGTGCTAATACAGCATTAATTAGTTTTCTACTTTACATGTAAACCCGACCTATGGCCCTTTAGAGCTGACCATCTGTAATTACATACCTGTACACTTTCTGTGTCACGAATTCCCAGTATGTATGGACTGCAATCTAGAATAAGCTGTAAAATAGTGATACATGTGTTAATAACTTGTTATTACCATTACCATACATCTTTATGGAGAGATAATACTAATTCATAATAAACACTGCAAAGAACATTATTCAGGCCTCTGACAGAGTCTTGAAACATAATACTGAAAACATGATCTAAATATTAAACAAAAGAAACAAGATTCAACATATTTTGGGGAAGGAAAATCTCTGTTTCTTCTCCCACCATGGTAAAACCCCTGACCCTTTGTGAAACATTGTTCAACAAAGAGCATGACAAATACAAGGGATTGAATATATTTAAATTGGTGAATATTGAATGTACATTGAAATATCTCAAGCAATGGATTCTTAACCTTGACCTTTCAGATATGACCTGAAGTAAAATCACAAGAAAGCTTTACGTGACCACTAGGCAATAATATATCATATTTTGAGTTCATTCTGATCAAGGGTCCAAGAGACATGGCTCAGATATAACTTGAACATTAGACCTTAACCACTGAGATTTAACTACATCTTTGAAAAATTTAAAACAACTACAACTGAAGTTTGAATTCCAACGTATCAAGGGTTCCAAAGTTTGCTTTTTAGAATTTTATGATATACAAGCAGACAGCTTGACAACACCCATAGCAAGAACATGATGACTTTAGAGAAGTAAACATTGTGTATTATTGACTTTAATTCAATTCTTGGACTAAGAGCTTCAGATGGGATAATTTTTTTTACAGAATCCCCAACCAGCAGTAGATGTCACAACCCACACAAATTACCTAAATATGTTTTAAAGTCTCCTTTTTGTTAAAGTACAAGTGCTTCATAAATCAAATGTAAAAATATTCTAGGAAAATAACATTGTTTTGAGCTAATCTACTTGGTATTAAGTGGGTGCTAGTCTACCAATCCTTTTCAAAAATATAAGCTTGTGAATTAATGTCATGTGATTCTATACGATAATTAACATGTTTGTGAAACATTTCTTTTTCCATAATCTATGATTTCTGATGAGGTAAATGCTTATTAGCACCTTTCACTTTATCTATATTTGTTTAAAATTACAGTAATTGGTATTTTCTATATTTTTCCCAGTCCCAATAAATGCCTTCTGACTTTTTCAACTCTTTCTCAGTAGAAAATAGAAGTAAATGTTTACCATCAAGGAGGTGCATTCTGTAGCAATGTATTAATTGTTTGTCTGCATTACCAAAGTACCGGTACACCAGGAGATATTTTGATGGAAAATCTTACATCGCTATCCTTATTTTTTTAGACCCCTTTCTCAACTAGGGCTGTGTATTGAACAAAAAATTCGATATGACACGAAACGATATTTTATAATGCGATATCCGATATATTGGACTCTTTAACAAATCTATCAAAAAAGTCTTATAAATCATCTAATGCATGAGTTTTATAAAAACTAATTGTTTTTTAACCCATTTCAAAAGTCTTGTCTCACTATCTCTACAAATTACACTTCAAATTCCAGCTTTTAATGACTGTAAAAAACAACAAGTTAAAATAAAGTTGTCTATGTATTTTGTAATATATTTATCTAAGATGTGCTATCTCCTTCATGATTATATCATTATTAATCAATTTTAATTCAAAACAGTGAAAATATAACCTTTGGTGATTGAAATTCCTAACTTTTTCACAGCATTATGAGAAAATCTGCCTATCTGATACATATTGGAAGTTATTTTTCAATACGATACTTTCTTAAATATCGATACGTATCAATATATTGATATATTGATACAGCCCTATTCTCAACTGACAAAGTGTTAAACTCAGACACAGGATACCTTTATTCTGATCAAAGCAGAAAACTCCAAAAATCTAAATGTGTACCATGTTTTATTGAAATCAGACTAAAATTGTAGGTGGAGTAGCCTTTTGAAAGAATTTCACATTTCTATTTCTATTTTAGTAACCATGGAAACAACATTTGTCAAAATCAAACACCAATAAAAAGAATTAATTAACTTAGTATAGTCTACTTGTTAACCAAGTCTCATTGAAAGTGAAAAAAAATGGTTGGAGTAGTGTTTTGAAAGATCTTGAGAGAAATTTCTATCTTTAGTAACCATGGCAATATACTTCAACTTAATAAAAAAAAACAAAACCAAAAATTTTATGTTAAGTATTTATTACTTGTGTACCAAGTCTTACTGAAATCATACCAAAATTGTAATTGTCGAGAAGCATTTGGAAAAAAGAATTTTTACAGACAGGCAGACAGAGGGACTTACTTTTGCATTATCTTTCTGGTCTCTGACCAATAATGCTAAAAACAGCTAAGGCAACAGTCTTTTTTGTGGGGTCAAAAAAGTTAACATGGTTACAAGTAAATCAGGTACAATTTCACAACTTGGCAATGACTGAAAAAATCTTATTTGTAAGATGTCCAAGCTCTGAAGACTGAGAAATTTCTTAATAAAACTGTGTCTTTGTCCTCATATTTCACTGTCAATACTTGTTATTACCTGTGTCAAATTGCTATCAACTGATTGAGCCTTAACTACTGGGAGTTACAATAGTTTCAGATTTTCTGTTCTTTTAGTCATTATTTGCCATCTTCATAAATTGCTTACAAGGGCTCTAGGAATTCAAAAAAAATTTTTAGGGGGGTGGTGGAAGGGGGGGGGGTTCTCTGAGAGAACTTCTCTATCATTGAGTATGATTTCTTTTTACAGTCACTCTCCCCTAATCCCACCCCTACAAAAGCAAGACTTTATCTCTTACCTTTGGTCGTCCACCAGTACAAAGGCACAGCTTCTGGTAATGGATCTCCTCACCATCACTCAGTTTTATTACCTGTCAAATTTATACCTAACTGAAAATTGGTTTTATAAAGAACAGCGGAATGAAGTTAGAATGTACAGTCAAACCTGTATTAAGTGCCCTAAGAAGGGAAATCCTAAAATGGTCACACATGACAGGCAGTCCCATGGAATCATATTCTAGCAATTTTCAACTACAAATGGTAATACGTGTACTTGTTAACTTTTTTCCTATTCTCTGTCCTTCATCATATGTTTTGAATCATTTTCATTCTTCATTGTAAAATATATTCAATAAATATTTGTTCATACAAATGGTTTTTATTCCTAATTTTATTAAAATTGCCTAAGAATTTTTTTTTACTTGTTATCCAAAGCAGGGATGAAAGTCACTGAATTCAGGGTCTTAAACTGCTTTGGGATCAAAAATGATGGACGATGTTATGTTAGAAAGGGAGTTGGTGAATTCAGGTAAAATATATTGAGAAATTAGGTCATGATTGCATATATAACAGGAAGTCTCTAAATACAGGTCGTCACTATGACAGGTTTGACTGTACATGCTGTGTCAGATGATTTCAAAGGAACTACATCTTAATCACATGACCTCAATTGCATTTGTACTAAGAGGTACTGACACAATCTTCATGTAATTGTATCTTGTTGTTAAAAATGCCCCCATATTTGATATTAATCATATATCGTCAATTCTCATTATATCGCGGCTTCCACTGTATCGCGGTATATTCCAAAAATTTGGATATGTAGCTCATATCCTTTTTGTTGATGGACCATCTGTCTGTCGTCTGAATGTTGACTTTTGTGATAATTTAAAAGCATGGAACGCACGTTTGATTTTTTAAAATTTTAATAAAACATAATTTTACAGATTTCAATTCCCGTTTTTATTTTATTTAGACCATTGATTTTATATCCTAGTAAAACCCATAATAAAGTTCATATTTTGAGAGTCTTCAGTTTGTATTATTGTTTAGTTTTCATGTAGATTAACATCGTAAATTTTAAAATAAAAATTGTTCTTCGTGACAGCGCCAAGCTTCCATGTTTTTCAGTACCGCAAACAATGAGACTCTCCACTTTAGGAGGTAAATAAGACTTCCTGTTTTAAAAATAGACCACAAATTAAACGAAGCAAGCTTGGGAATTAATAAGCCACAAAAAAGCTGGGCCATTATTAGGTTTATGAATGGCATTTGATGAAAAGTTAAAGTAAAAATTTGGAATAACTTTTTTTACGCCAAAAAATGAGTACCGCGATATAATGAGACACCAGTATACAACAGGCACGTAGCAATGGGGGGGGGGGGCAGTGGGGTGTGGCCCCCCACTTTTTTCCAAAGACTTTTTTTACTATTTGAAATGTTAACTGAAACGCTGGTTGCCCCCCCCCCCCCCCCCCCCACTTTTTGGTGTGGAATAGTCAAATAAGGTTTTAGTAGTAGTGTTTGAATAAAATTTAGTACTGAAAGAAGTTGCAATCTACTTAGGGGACTAGTATTGCTTATGCAACACTCTCAGAATGCTTGTTTGATACTGCATACAGGAAAATTTTCGCCTCCGTTTTATTCTCGTCCCTTTCACCCTAGACACAGGTGGGCAAATTTAAGATGGGGCAAATTCAAACAAGACAGTATAGTTTCTTAAACAAAACTGTGATTTGGCAAATTTAAAACATGGCATAATTGTTTGCAAGAATGAAAGGGTGAAAATAACACGGGGCAAAAATAACCCTGTATACACTTAGCATTTTAGCTTTAACACATGTGAATTGTAATATACTCACATGTGACCTGGCATTGAGAGAATCCACACTTTTCTGTACTACTTTTACATTAACACACTCTGATTGTAAGGATATACTAGGTCTCTCCTCTACATCAAAATCCTCCAAGGTTTTCGTAATCTTTGAAAATGATCAAATTCAAGGTTTATCTTACACATATGAAGTACAAAATATTCAGGATTATGGTTAAATAATGTGATATTTTGCAATAAGAGAAGGGAGAAGTAAATTGACACCTTTTTATAGTTTGTGATGGCTTTAATCAATGGGGAGGCTGTTATAAGAAGAACTTCTTCTTCTGGGCATAGAGATGAAAGCTGTTAAAACAAAAAAAAAACATTTACACTCTGAATCTTGTGAAAAATGCCATTATATGATTATATTTGAAATTTCATGTCAATCAATATGTTAAAACTAACTCTGATTAAAATGTGTGTAATGTTCAAGTTCAGTGTGTTCCTATTTCTTTTTTATGCCCCGGGATCGAAAGATCCCGGGGGTACAGAGTGTATATTGTTTTTGTCCTGTCTGTCTGTCTGTTTGTCTGTTGTCAACTTTAACCTAGGCCATAACTTAAAATTGCGCTGTCAAGGCTAAGGCTTTAATATTTGACATGAGTGTTCATTATGACAAGACCTTTCCTTGGGTACCACCATATATGACCTTTTGACCTTGACCTTAGAGTTTGACCCAGTTTTGCAAAATTTTACCAAACTTTAACCTTGACCATAACTTTTGAAAGGTTGGTGCTAGGGCTTTCATACTTCACATGTGTAATCCTTGTGACAAGACCTTCCTTTGGATACCAACAACTTTGACCCTTTGACCTTGACCTTGGAGTTTGACCTACTTTTGGAAACTTTAGCCTTTGCGATAATTTTTGAACAGTTGGTGCTAGGGCTTTTATACTTCACATATGTAATCCTTGTGACAAGGTCTTTCTTTGGATACCAACAGCTTTGACCCTTTGACCTTGATCTTGGAGTTTGACCTACTTTTGAAAAACTTTGGCCATAACCTTTGAACAATTGGTGCTTCGGCTTTCATATTTCACCTGTGTATTTCTTGGGAATAGGCCTTTCCTTTGGCACCATTAATATTGACCATTTGACCTTGACCTTGATGTTTGACATACTTTTGAGAAAAAACTTTAACCTTTTCCATATCTTTTCAATGGTTGCTGCTAGGCCTTCATATTTCACAGGTTTATTCCTCAAGACAAGACCTTACTTTGGGTATCAACATATTTCATTTGCATTCGAGAAAGTTTAACCTTTGCTATAAGTTGCCATATGGGGGCATCAGTGTTTCACAAACACATCTTGCTTTTTTTTCTTTCTTTTTTTTTTGCATCATTTGCCAATAGAAAATGCAAGTCTTTATTTGCAGAATATTTTAACACCCCCCCCCCCCCCAACAACACACACACTAAATGAACAGATTTTCAAAAAATAAATTATTTGTTATTGGGTGTCAAGGATTGTCATTCAAAGTCTTTTTAAATAGCTAGCACTTTGTGCAACTTACTGTGCAGTGAACAGCACAAAGATCCCTGCTCCCACTACAAACTATCAGTTAGGAGAAAATTTTAACTGTCTGCACATTGATCCAACAGAATTTTTTTCAGATGAGGATGCATCTGTATTTATATGACTAACACTGGCTTAGCTGCTCTTGGAAAGAAGATTTTTAAGGATATTTCCCATATATTCTTATGTAAAACTTTGATCCCCTGTTGTGGCCCCACCCTACCCCAGGGAAGTCATGATATGAAAAACTTCAATCTGCAGTATGTAATGAAGCTTCCACATAAGTTTCATATTTTTAGCTCAGTAGTCCTTGAGAAGAAGATTTTTAAAGATGCCATCAAATCTTCAGGAAGTCTTTATTATCTCCCCTTGAAAGAGGGCATGGCCCTTCATTTGAACAACTTATATCCCCTTCACCCAAGGATGCTTTGTGGATGTTAAAGAAGTCTTTTACATGTTGGGACCAATCGCCCAAATGGCCAGGGGATAAAATAACCTGTATGAGAAATAATATTGCAAATGGGATATAAAGGTTCACTTCATTATAAATAGGGATCTGACCTATAGGGCCGGGTTGGGTTTTTTCTCTACAAAAAGCTTGTCGATTTCCATTCCGATTAATGACATTAGGCTGAATACATGTAACAATTTGTTTTTCATAAATCTTTATTTCAGTGAGTAGAGGTAGGAGGAACACTTTTATTCATATTCTGAGTTTGTTATCTCCATATGTAATAATTGATATTTTTCTTTACTTCTCATTGTACATAATGGTAATGTCCACTGTCTCTGGAATTCTATTCTTTATGTCTAGGCTATTTATTTTATAACACATTTCCGTAGATATACAATAAAAACATGCCATTAATGTGTGCAAATTATATAGGCCTAAATGAAATCCAAGGGAGTACAGTTACTGATATATGTAGCCCTACTGTTTCAAAACTTAAGATCTTAGAACATTGACTGAAAACAAAAGTACATGCATGTTATTCTAAATATATTAAGCTCAAATAATTCAAGCAATACGTAACATATTAACCCAGACAAGCACTAGTAGCACAGACAGAATAAAAGCAATGTGATTAAATTCTAAGGAATATATACAATTGAAATTCATTGCAGCTCAATGCTGCCGAGAAAACACAGAGTGAGTTATTCTTGTCCTCGGAGAAAGTGTGCTATACTGAGACTTGTTCCGCCTGACTGACAACTGTGCATTGGATTGTTACGATTTGATCTCTCTCTAGTGTTTCTTATATCAATAATGGGAATGCATAAAGGATAGATAATTGAGGGAAAATAAACAAGCCTATAAAAAAAATTAAAATAGTCTTTGAAAAGGCGAAAATTTAAAACTATAAAAGTGTGGCACCAGGTGGATTCGAACCCCTGACTTTATAAAGGTACTCACGATATAATAGTCAGCGCATATATCAATTTAGCTATTCTGACTATAAATCTGTTTGGTATAAATTTGAAGCAGATTGTCAAAATCAGGTTTCCTTATTTTTTGTAGGTTTTTTGTGAATTTCGACCATAGGGCAGGGGTGCCCCTAAAAAATTCCTATCTTAAATCATTCCTTACATTCCAACCTATCAAAATATCACAATTTTATTTAGGGGCAGGCCTGCCCTGAAGGACTTCTAGGCCAAAATTCATGCAAAAATAAACGTTTTAACGGACAAAATGGTGTTTCGGCTAACTTTGGAGGTTTACTGTAAAGTTTTAAATAATAAATTTTAGTTGTAAAATACAAATTTGAAAAATTTAGACATATATACGGTAGATAACAACAAATAAAGATTGATTTTTAAATGTCACTTTTTCCGGGAAATTGTTCTTTCCTATAGGTCAATTCTTTTGTTATAGTGAATACATCCTTTACAGTACATAAAATAACTTTTTTAGGGCCATAAATTATACACAGGCACTTGTTTCTGTAACCCATAGTATTATAACACAAGGTATCTAACTCCTCCTCCCCAGAAGCAGTCATTTACACTTTCAGAGAAAATGCACTGGCAAACTGTTTACCACCATTCTCTTCTATGATAATTTATCTATAAAACCATATATTGCATGCTTGGGCCAAAAAAAAAAATAATAACAGTCTTGTTTCCTGCTACCAGCCTGAAAAAAATTGGGTAGGTTGGTAGGAAAATTATTTTATTTTTTTTACAATTTTTTTTTTGACGGCATTTTTTGGATATGAACTAATACAAGATCAAATTAAACATGTCACAGGTCAATATTGTCTTTTAGAATTAAATTTCATGTCTTTTGATGCACAACTCAAGTGGTATTTTATGAAAGTCCATATTTAAAACATAGAATTTCATGAAATGCTTGTTTTGTGTAAACATGGATACCAATTATGGTGACAGAACAATGAATTTTGGAAATTCCAGGTTTTTTTCTCAAAAACTAAAAAAAAAACTTTAGGGTCGGGTGCAAAAAATAGGGTTGGTCGGGTAGCAGGAAACAAGACTATTATTTTTTTGGCCTTATCTTTATTTTCTTGTATCTCTGTAAACAGCATGAAAACTGCTTGCCGACTGGAAAAAATTTGTCTCACTGCATGAAATGGAGTTTGCCAGTCCATTTTCTCTGAAAGTGTAAATGACTGCAATTCTGTGGAGAAGGGTACTACAAATAATTCGGAGTTATAATATACCTTGTGCTATTATTATACTTTGGGTTAAAAATTAAACACGTGCCTGTGTTTAAATATCGCAAAATATACATTGAATGCAACAAATTTTGGTAAGCATTTTTTTTATAAACCCTGCAGTTTATGAAATTGATCCTCAAGAAGATTAGGACCTTATAGTGAGCGCAGCGAGCGGCACAAAGCGCCGCTCATCACTGCGAGCTCTAACGACAACGCCTGGGCGAAGAGAAAATTCGGACTTCTGCACATTCATTCAATACAATTTTTTTCCGCAGTAATTCTGGACCTACAATGCATCGCTTCTTGTTCTGATGTTCTCGCTGCTAACTTCGTCCGCGCGGTAACAACAACTAAAAATTCACACAAAATAAACTCACCTTAATTTAATGGATATTGCATACAGACACTAGATTAAACGTTCCTTGTTAAAATTATTGCACTTTTGAAACTTTGTTTATGGAAATGCAGCTAACATATGACGTCATGTGACGTCACAGTCTAGACGTTCCAAATGTCTCGTGTGGGTTAAAGAGGCAGATCTTAATGAATTAATGAAGTGAACAATGCGCTTGCCCAAATGGTAGCACCGTCAACATATTAAGGATCAATCTCCTATACAGTATGGTTACAGAAAAATATGCTTACCAAAAGTTATTGCTTTTTATAGGTATTCTTATTCCAATTTACAATACATGTATTTATGGTCAACTAAAATGTTTTTTTTTCCCATTGTAAATTTATATCCCATTTAGGATATTATATCACAAATGGGCTATTATAGCCTTCGCGCCGCTCATCACTGCGAGCTCTAACAAAGCCTGGGCGAAGAGAAAATTCGGACTACTGCACATTCATTCAATAGAATTTTTTTCCACAGTAATTCTGGACCCACAATGCATCGCTTGTTGTTCTCGCTGCTAACTTCATTCACGCGGTAACAACAACTAAAAATTCACAAATATAAACTCACCTTAATTGAATGGATATTGCACACAGATAGTAGATTAAACGTTCCTTGTTTAAATTTTTGCACTTTTAAAACTTCGTTTATGGAAATGCAGCTAACTTACGACGTCATGTGACGTCACAGTCTAGACGTTCCAAATGTCATGTGCGGTTTGAAGAGGCGGACCTTAAAATTAAGTGAACAATGCGCTCGCCCCAACGGTCGCACCGTCAACATATTATCTCATTTAGGTGATTGGTCATATCCTGTTTTAGGTGATAGTTTAAATTAACGATTTGGAGGACACGGTCACAGCAATCACTGTCAACAAAGAAAGAAAAGGCAAAAGATTAAAAAAAATAAATATATGGGCAAATTATACGATCATGGCATCGTCACTGGCATGACTGACACAATCCACAGTACTCGCCTTGAACACTAAATACTGAATATTGATACTTCACAGGAGTGAGCTGACAATATTCCAGGATAGAGATAAGATAAGATATGTTTTATTACTAATTCAGTGCCCAAATGAGCATAAAGAGAACAAACTTACAAGAGAGAGGCCTAAAATATAGTTGAGAGAAAAAGAGAGAAAGAAAAAAAATCATTTAGACATACATGCACCTATATAAACATATACATAAAATAGACATATTCCAGGATATATCCAACATGAACTCCCACTAATTATTTATCGCGAATTCGCTAGAAATTCTTACCGTTTCAACACAGGTTACTCCAGCGATGCCACCACCCACCACAACGTATCTTACCATGTTAAAATATATTCGCAATAACTGTAACACAATCAATGAGGAAAAAACATTGTTTACTTTAGGGCGCATCCATCTTTAAAATGCCCGGATATGAAGATAAAAGTCGAAAAAGAAAATAATCCGGAAACAAGATCATCCGCAACTTTTCCTCTTTTAACCAGTTAACGAGACTGTCACAGAATCTTTATTACATATAGTGTTATTAATTGTGACCTCCTATTTCACTCTTCGATCGGACACATATTTAGGGGTCCCCGTAGCAAAACATGGACATCGTCAGTCTTTCTATAAGATTGGCATAGGCGTCGGAACCCGGGGGAAGGGGTGAGGGGGGGGGGGGCTTAGCATCGGACAGATAATCTGGGTTTTCTTAAGCAAAAAATGAAACATTCCTTCTTTTCCTGGGGTTAGGATTTTAACAAACTCGAATTTACACTACATATTCCTTATGTAGTATAAATTCGAGTTTGTTAAAATCCTTCATAAGGAAGCTTAACCAGGTAGTTTGTCTTTACTGGTTTCTGGAGTATATATATAGAAGACATTATGAAACCCTAGTTAGAACTACTATTATTAGGATTAGCCTATCACTCCAAGATAAAAAGAATGACCTTCGTCGGAACTGTTACTGGAGGATTTTTCTGCCAATGTTGATTGAAATTGGTTTAAATGGGCGAAGTAGTTTAGTATTAGTCGAAAAAATTCTTTGAATGAACCGTTGGGTGAGCAAAGCCCCCACCCCCCACCCCCTTGTAATATCCCAGTTAGTTCTGGTATAGCTGAATTTTCTTATATGACTTCCCACTCTGTTTATCTGCCTACTCTTTAGAATGCCTTTGTCGTTAATCAAGCCTCATCCAAACACGCCCCACTCTTTCAAATGAGACCATTAAAACCGAGAACCTGCGTTTCAGTCAAGATGGTGACACTAAAAAAGATTCCTCTTTGCTCAATATCCCTCGGTTCCGAGTACACTTTTCACCGACAACTGGTGGCATTCCAACATAAGTAAATATTATCCCAAAAAAAACGTAATGCAAATTAACAAACAATACAAAAACTTATCACGATCAACAGAAAATTTTCCAAAACAATTCATGAAAAAGTTATTCACAATCTTTCAAAACGTAACTAGTGTACAGCAATCTATCGTAACAATACAATTTCATGCACGTACTCGTATACATAAGTGCTATCAGTTTCTGCAACAATGTCTTTTTCACGGGGTAGGGATGTCATCCATATGCCCAACTTCTAGCCAGGAGAACCAGTGAGGTTTTTCTCGTGTGACTAACGGTTAACCACCAAATCGGGTGTTATAATCAGAGTTTTTTCTCCTAGACGAGGTATTGACCAAAGCCTTTGCTCTTTTATTTTAGCCTGGAAAAAAGTACATAGGAGAGGATGGGAGGGGATAGGACACAAGAGAGAAGGAAACGATGACTGCAAAATAGCCATAAGGATTGCAACCAGAAAGTTTGAAAGAGAATAACTGAGGACCACATGGAGAAAAACAATTAAAAAAAATGGTACAGGTTGACCTGGAATGCCACCAAGGTATCGGCTAGGGATAGAAAAAAATAGAAGGAAAGCATAACAGCCTTATGTGCTTAATTAAGGTAAGGATCTGCAAATTTATTTTGCTAAGAAACATTCTGATTTTGCACACAAGTACCCCGAAGTTGATTTTAAAAATATACTTGAATTTCTGATTCACAATATTTATGAGGTTTTCGGAGACAATCTGATGGAATTTCCATGGGTACTAATTGTGCTTCATTATTAGCAGACCTGTTTTCGTATTCATATGAAGCAGAATTTATTTCAAAATGTCTGCATGAAAAGAGTCTAGATATATCGACAATATTTTATAATTTAACGATTTTCATTTTCATTCCTACGTTTGATTCGAAATATTCCTTTGAACTCGAAATAAGATATCCCAGAGCCTGAAAACATCTGTTTGATATATGTATTTGGATATTTTATCGGAGAAAGACTTTGAAAGCAAGCTAACAACTAAACTTTATGATAAACATGATGACTTAAACTTTTCTATTTTTTTTCCCAGATATGACCCTTAGGGGTACAAGAAATGCGGCAGAATGGGGTCCAAGTTTTTATGCTCATTGAAAATAATTTTCCCGCACTATATGATGGTCTTTAAATAGTTATTTGATAAGTTTTCAGAAGTATGAAAAATCGTATATTCCCGCACAATATGATAGCCTTTTATTATAATTATTTGATTTGCATTAAGAAGTATGAAAAAATAATTTATGCATTTTTTACAAGTTTTATTGTTGCTTAGATCAGCGATATGGCCCCTCTGAGCCTCTCTTCTTTAAGATAGTTGGCTTTGTTATACATGTATTTTTTTTAGGAAAGCTTTTCATCTATTTTACGTTAACTCAAATTTATTGAGAGAAAATATATCGATGTCATACCAGTTATCTAAATACATATATTTGGGTAGGAAGGATAGAGAGTTGGGCTGAGGGACCTTCTACCTGTCTTCTCATTCTCGATAAGGGTAGATCAATTCATCAGTTTTTCGAAAGAAATATAACAAATAATGCTGTCTATTACTAAAATCTAGGTCCAGAATTTTGTTTTGTACATAATATTTTCAAAGTGCCTTAAGTGTCTCCATGGTAAAAAAAAAAAAAAAAAAAAAAAAAGGTTGATTTACACTCTGAACTCTCTTTGAAAAAAATTTTCAAAGTGCATTGATTTTGTCCCAAATTTAAAACACTTTGATTTTTTTTTTCAAAGTGCGTTGATTTTGTCCAAAGTTGAACGTACTTTGAAAAACACTTTCAAAGTGCGTTGCCATAGTTCTCTTCTTTAGTTCTAATTGAAATTTCACATCGGAGAATACAAATAGATTAACAACTTAAATTTAATTCTATTTCAGGAAATAATGACAGAAATAAATGGCGTTTTGCAAAAACATTTATTGTACAAATAAGACATATACAGTCATGTTAAAATTTGAAAACATTTCCTTGACAATAAATGCAGTGAAAATGCATAACAGCTCAAAGAAGAGAACATACATCGAAAGGCAACATATAAAAGTATTCTGCAAGTAAAACCGAACGAAAAATATTTACGAAGTGATAACCAAATCTGGTTTCATAAACTGGATGTATAAAGATGATATTATTATGGCGAGAATGGATATAAAATGCTGCATTTGAGTCTTTACATAATACACGTGTAGTACCTTATATGACTCGCTATGTATGTTTCCTGTTAACCATGTCTGTCAGGAGGAGGCGCCGTTATATATATGGAAGTTTCACGTGACTTTACATGCATTTTTTTGCGGAGCTGCATTTTGTATTGACAAATTAAAACTTCAACCTTTAACAAATTGCATTAAAGAAAAACTAAAAAAAGGTATGTAAAGATCATCTAAAATTAACCTCATGATTTAAGGAACCATATTTGATGGAAATGCTATTGCTGGATAGTTTCTGTTGTGCCAGAGCACATTGTTACTTTGGTCGTATATTTTTGAACAAGCTACATACAAGAAAGAAGACATCTGCATTGATCCCTATGACATAAATTTTGGAGGAAGTTGGAATTGCTGACCAATTTCACATTTGCGCATCTGATACGGAAAAAACAAATGATTTCCACTATTTTCTCTAAACAATTACCGCTAAAATTTAGATTTAACGCAAATTATTCATTTTATCAGCTTGCAAAAAATATTATTTTGAAAAGCATGGACACTGAAAGCACTCTCCTGAATATAAAAAAACGCACTTTTTAGGCTTGTGAATGAAGCTGAAATATTGTGAGAAAACATATGAAAACCACATAGATTGATTTGAGACATATATACATGTTTTTAAATACAAAGTTCATTGCTGCTGAAATTTATTTTTATTTCTTAAGTCAATATTAAGAAGAAGTGGCATATGAATGCTAAAGTCCTGTAAAATGTCAAAGACTTGGCCACAAGAAAGATACGGCCACATGTTCTTGTCATTATCACTAACTCCGGGAATTAGTGGATTATACACTAATCAGAGCTCACAATGTATCACATATTGATTATCCTTCTTCCGACCTGTCCGCGAAATCTTCCCAGTCTGTTGACGTAAAACCATCTTCTGGTCAAGCTCCACGCCGCGTTATCAATGTCTTTGTTGTCACCATGCCTCGACGCCGTGGGTTTATTGGTTGTTGTTGTTATTGTCGTCGTATGTCCTGCTGTTGTTGTTATTCTAGTTGTTGGTGGTCTAATCGTTGTTGTTGTTTCAGCTCGAGCCGCGGCGAAAACGTCGACAGGATCAATACTCTAAAACATTAAAGATATATTAGTTGTGAATTCAGATCGCCATGTAATTATTATATTTGGATAAGTAATTATCACATTTTTCTCGCTATTATTTTGTGTATTTTCCCTTAAAATAACATTGTGGTTATATAACTTTTTTTTTCCGTATACGTGTAGTTAAGCATAATTTGCCCTACAAATTCAGAAATTTATTATGAAACAACAGGTGATAAACATTCAGTAGCTGCCTGTGGTATTACATGTATATTTTTTGCTTTGTTTGCATCTTTAATGTAATACATGTAATTGTTGTCATTCCTATTAATTTTAGAATGTTTTGATTATTATTAACTCTGTATACTATGATCTGTGTTACCAAATCCTCCATTAAGCTACAGAATTAAGAAATTAATAAGTCCTGTTTCCAGGATGTTGACCTTCTTATACATCTAATAGGATAAGGTGGGGTTGGAAATGGTGACGGTCATAATTTTCTTCCACATGCTTTCAAAGAGCAGGTTTCATGTCCAAGAAAACCCATAATTTAAGTTCATACTGACGTTAATATAATTATCAAGATAAATTCGACAGATATCATCTATCGATCCCTTTTTTCGGTCAGAAATATTCCTCTCATAATTCACGAGCCTTAACGATGATAATTAGCCAATAATGGTTAACCGATTATCTAATAAATAATGTAAGGTAATCTTATGTATTTAGTTATCTGGAAAAAACCCTTACCTATCTTGTGGCGGAATGAGATGTACATGTAAATATGTTTTATGATTATCTCACATATCAAAGTATCATATCATATCATATATTTGATAGATTATTTTTCGGGAGTTTTATTCTTACTTATAGAAAAATGTCCTCTGAACAATATTTGTGGTTCTTAACTGTAAAGTCTCCCTATTAAGCTTTATCCTTACCTGTGAACAATAAAGCAGTAGATTCTCGTAGGAACAGCTTGAAAAACAGCACTCTTCAACCACTCCCCCTCTCTTTTGCTCAGCAGTGAATCTTCTCTTCAGTCTAGCAGAAGGAACTCTATCTTCTTTCTCTACTACAAAATATTATTAGTAATTATTGTTAATGTGGGAAATAATGGAGAGAGAAAAAAAATACACACAGAAAAAAAGTTTAGTTATACTCTGGAATGGTCAATGTAATATGATTGTAAATGTCGTTCATGTACGCATGTTTCCTTTTCTTTTTATTTTGTTGAAGATAGCAATATGTCATTTTTAAAAAATTGAATTTACTGGGTGGGAGTAAGTAGAAAATTTGTATTTACACCCACCCGGGAAATTCAAATTTTAGAATGTTCATTTGCCAAGAAAATTTTCTACGATTTTCTTTTGGCTCTTTTGGTATTTTGCTAAAAGTTCAAGTATTGCTAAATAGAGACCTTGGTATTTGCATTACCCTTATCTCATCTGTTTCATTATATGTGTTTTTCAAGGTTGGCATACATTGTTTCCACTCCTTTGATTATGTTCAATGAAACATGCTTAAATAAATGCATCTTTTTGAAAACAGATTTATTCTCACTTTTACAGCGAAAATTTAAAGATATATATCCTCTATTACAATGACTATACATTAATTTTGTACTTTCATATTCTTCAAAAGTATCTATTTTCCCCCAGCAAAGTTTAGTAGGTTTCCCTTTTACTGAGGTTATGGAACAAATTAGTTTTACCACCCCTAAATATTGCCTTATTAACCCCTTCGCTAGCAATCGATTTAAAGAGGTGATTGTGTACTATATTGCTCTTCACACCAGTCGTTGTAGTACTTTATAACAACAAATTTGGGTGTTTAGTACACCTCCCTCTTGTAAATCCATAAAATGATCTGAATCGATATCTCACCTGTAATGTACTGTCTTTTCGCTGCGTCGTGGAACTGGTTTCTGCAGACAAGAGATAAGATGTCTGTGAGGGCAGAACCACAGGCCTGCAGCTGGTTCCCTGCTCCGAGTTGTAAGAAGGTGGCAAACAGAACTGTCACCAAGAACTTCATTGTCCAACCAAACTGAAACCAAACATAATTTTGATAATATATATATTCTGCTAAATGCAGAATGAATCATTACAAATCAGTTTCTTTCACAATCCGTTTGATAAAGCGTTAATTACCAATTATATCCTTGCTATGAAAAAAAAAAAAAAATAAAACCATTTTTAAAGTGGCTTTTATGGCTAGATGGTCGAAAATAAATTTTATTCTTGTTAATGCTCGTACAACGTTTCCCAGCTCCTTATCATGATACATAAATAAATATATATCTCTGTAACAAAATTCATTTCAATGAAAAACAGGTTGTCAATTATAAAATCCGTTACATCTATTGTAAAGGATGGAAAATTATCCATCAAATTTTGCAAAAGTTGGCAATAGCTTACTTGAGCATGTTTATAATTCCAGGTAGCATTTAGAGTGATGACACACTTGTCTCTAACATACTACATTGAATTATAGCATGTCCAATATTTATATAATACTATTAGAAATATTGGGGCGTGGCTGATAATGATTGATGTGTGGACTGCTGTTGTGATTTTAGATGATTTACCAGTAGTAGCCATTCATAACATCATCACTTTGTTGACTTTTGCCTGCATGTTTACTATTGACACTTGGGAACACGTTATCGTAGAACAACGCTACTGATTTCTTTATCCCTTGTTTCAAAATGGCCTGTATTATTTATATGTTTTGTTAAGAACTTCGTATATTTAGGATTTTGAGGACTATATTCTGTACAAACACACAAATCACTGTTCAAAAAGCACACAGACATGTCTATCCCTATTATGTGATTCGTACTCCCGAAGAAAGAAAATGTCTAGGTTTTTTTGGGAAAAGTTGATTATGTTATAACGTATTCTATGTGAGATTAAAATATATATTTATAATTAGAAGTTGTGAAACTGGAGCAGGATCTGTGTACTTCATGTGATGTTAAAGTTTTCCAGAATGGCAATATTCCAAGATATAACCACAAACGTAATGCCTTACTACAGCCATTCCGTGTTAACTTGCTTTTAGGAGAGTCGCTACTCTCTTTTCAAGTCATTAATGTCCAGGTAACGAATAGTAATCAAGCTAAAAAATCTAATTAAACATTACGGATTGAAAGCAGAGCAAACACGGATTTCTGCAAAATCATCAAAGAAGGTGCCAAGGAGTTAGCAACAACAGTTAGCAGTAAAAACCACCGTGAGCCCTTTACCTTGATTGGGAGAGAAATCCGTAGATTGATTGATTGTATGTTGTTTTATGTCCCTTTAGAGAATTATTTACTTATATAGAGAAGTCACCGCATGATGAAGAACTTTAAATTTTAAATCTCTAACTGCCGAGCGCTTGGCGAAGGAACATTTGCTACCTACTTTTATCGACTTAGGTTGTCGCAGCCGAGGTTTGAACTCTTGACCTTTCAATCATGGAGCGAGCGATCTTCCGACTGAGGTACCGTGACAGTGAATACTCCATAGACAAATCAGTTTAAAATAAATGACCTAACAATTCATATTACGAGTAAAACGCCAGTCAACATTCTACCTTACGAAATTTTTTTTTTTCTTTTTTGAAACAAAATTCTTGCAACGACCATAGAATTTTCGAAATGTTGACGCTAAACAAGATTGTTGATATCCTTGTAACAATGACTTATTTTTCAACAGCTTGCCTTAATAATTGGTCCTCCACATACAGAACATGCTTTTTTTACGTATTGAATAAACTAGGAGATATAGACACCTAGGGAGTTGATGATAGAAAAGTGAAGATATCATATTTATCGTAAAGTTTAAGTATAGTTGTTACAAATGTAGTTTGTCATCAATGTTTTTCTATAGTAACACATCCAGATATGAAACAGATATGTTAGACTCTGTGATTTCTTTTATTTCGAGTTCAGAAGGATACACTAAGGAAAATGAATATTTTAGTGTCAAACCCTTGTCGATATATCCAAATGTCGAATTGTGGGCCTAAGGAAAAGATTTCTTTTCATGTAGAAGTTTCTGAAGAAATTCTTTTTCATATGAATGTAGAACAAACGATATAGGGATACAGTTAGTACCAATGAAAAATCCATTAAATCTCTGAAGACCTGGCCTCAAGAGACTACATATATATTGTCAATATGGAACTTTGTCAGACTTTTAATATGAACTTCATGATACTTTTTGTATAAAATCAGAATGACTTTTTACACAGTAAATTTTGTTGAAGGCAAATCACAAGATATGAAAATTTCTAATTTCCACTTGTATTTAAGAAACAGTTTAACATTATGTCAAAAAGATCGGTCTTTAATCTCTTAATACCGATGTGACCTAATTGAATGAAAATAATTTTCTTTTCTGTTCATTTTTACCAGTTTTCCATGAGGATATGGTCTTGACATATTTATGGTTCTTACATTTCAAGTTCCTCAGATTTACTCAATGTCAAGTAGAGAATGCAGGCAACAGAGAAAAGAAAATGGCATATGCAATCGTCCTCGAATTCCTGTATGTTACTATTTTTTTTAACTTTTGTCATAAAGAATTATGGAATGTTTTGTATGGTAATCCCCCTTTCCTTTGCTATAAAGAAAAAAAGGCTCATTTTGTTTCAGTAGATTTGTTTCTATGTATTTCTCCATCATTCTATTTAGAAAATACCTAATACCTCCCAAGTCAAATCGAAATGTAATGTGCAACAATATATAAACTTTCTAATAAATAATTGTATGATTTTCCCATTTTACGATAAAATTTCAGTGAAACTTGTATTCATACTTCGTATTTCTAACAATTTTAACTACTCTCTGGAGGAAACTTTTGACATAGTATAAAGTCCTGATAATTGAGAACCTAAGAAATAAATAATGTAATTCTCCATCATTGATTAGTAGGTGGGTTGGGATCTAGAAGGTCAGAAAGCAGACAGGCTAATAAAAATATTCTTTTAAAAGTACTTGCCCTTTTATTTCTCATTAGCAGTGACTTATTATTCATAAATTATTTGATAAGATAAAGTTTGTTGCTGTCGTATTTTTATGCCTCCGTAATCGAAGATTACCTTGACCTTTGAGATTTACCTACCTTTGAAAAAACTTTAACCATGGACATAACCTTTGATCGGTAGTGCTAGGACTTTTATGAAATATGGAGATAACGAACAGTATCGAGGCTCAGAGTCCATTTAGATAATACACATTTTGGAGCAGAGCAAACACGGACCTCCGAAAACATCAGAGGTGGGATCAGGCTCCGGGGCCATAAAACTTAGACGAGCTTACTTTTGATCTCAGTCTCACTTTTACCAAAGGAATTAATAGAAGAAAAGTGAGACTGAGATCAAAAGTGAGCTTGTCTAAGTTTTATGGCCCCTGGGCCTGATGTTATGGAAGAGTGAGCATCCTCAATTCAGTGTGTAAATAATGGCCTAACAATTAGTATGAAAAACGTCTGTCAGCATTTGCCTTAATGGCAGGTTGTATTTGCTGACAAGGTCATTGTATCCACCATAAAACCTGCAAAATGATGACTTCAAACGAGACTGTTGACATCCTTGTTTCATCAACTTGTTTGTCAATAACTTGCCTAGTTTTAGAATTTGTTCATACGTAGGGCATGCTGTTGCGTATCGAATCGACTGGGAAACAAAACCCCATATCAAGGTGATAAGGGTATATTGCTACATATGTAGGGAAAGTTGACGATTGAAAAATTAAAGTCATCACGTTTATTATAAAGCTTTGATGTTAGGTTACTATTAAATTTTAAGTCTTTTTCTAGTAAAATATCCAAATATGAATATGTCACATGTGTATTCTTTGTGACAAGCCCTTTCTTTGGGTACCATCATTTTTACCTTGACCTTGGAGTTTGACCTACATTTGAGGGAAAAAAAACCTTGCCTGTACCTTTGGAACGGTTGCTGCTTGGGCTTTCATGCTTCACATAAGCATTCCTTGCGACAAGACCTTTCCTTTGGTACTTTTTGTATTTGTCCTTAGAGCATGGCCTACTTTTTTGAAAAAACTTTAAACTTGGCCATATGTTTTGAATGGTTAGTACTAGGGCTATTATATTTCACATGTGTATTCCTTGTCACAAGACCTTTCTTTGAGTATCAACATTTTTGAACTCTTGACCTTGACCTACATTTGAAAAACTTTAACCAATTAAGTTCCTTTTTTATCCGCCTTGTATTCTCCTATATCAAATGATACAATTGTACATGTAAAAGAATATGTGTTTATTGAATCCAAAATAGTCAGAAACAACATGTATTTCGCCTTCTCGTTGACGAGACTCCATCGTTAACAATAACAACGTAGTTAACAATGCCTCTAGCAGTGACCGAAATTTCAGTATGAATACAACGTACTCGTACTTTGGCTTTCCTTGACTAAGCCACAAATGCTTTTGGCGTCTTTTCCAGAATGGTTTCATTTTCGGTCCAGCAACTTGGAAAAATGTTCATTTATTGCTCATTATTTAGTATGCTTTTTATACGAGAACACAAGAGAGTCTGGAAAATACGAAGTGATGAATATTAAAGTAAATTTTTTTTTTCATGTTTTATGCTGCTGGAAAACTGGTAGATGTAGAGGCTTGGGGCATAGGCGATATCGTGGCAGGTAACCTTTCCCTGTATTTTGTATTTTTATATAAATGTATGTGTCGATTTCTCTTTTCATATTGTACCCTTAAAAAGCACAAAAAGTGGGAACCTCCCTGGGTCTCGCCCATTGGACCACCATTTAAAAGCTACTCTGATATTTATTTTCAACATCAGTAAAACAAACATTATCATCACATACATCTTTATATACATTTTGGGGACAGAGTTGTAAAGCTGTAGAAAACCACATGCTACCGAGGACTGTCCAGGACCCTGTTAAATGAATATATTATCATACCGTAAATAAAAAAAAAATATTTAGAAGAAAACACAGTAGGGTTGCAGACCTTCAATTCCCGGAATTTATCCTAGAAACAACCGAGAAGGTAGGGTTAAGGCGTCTTCTGTCTCATACCTTCTGTCCGACCCACCCTCCATAAACACAAATCCTAGATCCATCGTCTGAATATTATATTTTATAGAAGAACCAAAGAAGGGTTTAATTTAGAACCCTCTATACACTATACACTGCACATTAAAGAGTCCTAATTCCCTAGGATATTTATGCCCTTAGATCTTAAGTGACATAAATTAAATTTGAAGCTTATTACTCAATTTGTAATAATTTCAAGCATTCTTAACATGACATTGGACCCAAATAGATTAATTAAACACTTAATTTGCATGAACTTTTCCCATTTAAGTTAGCAAAAGTGATTTCACTTCACCATAGGTACCCTATGTTGAAAATGTAATAGATAAACTCCATATTTACATGTTTATATGCTGTAATTTCCTCAGAGTACAAAAACAATTTTCATT